TCGCTAATCTTTCTTCTAGAATATCAACTAGTAAAATGTCTTTAGATTAGAAATAAACTTTTGAAATTGTTAAAACATATACTTTTATACTCAAAAGAGCCAAAATAGTAACTTTGACATGTTGTTTCACAAAACAGAGATCACTGTTGAGTCCAAAACGGTTGAAAATGCTAAGAACAAGCTTGACACTAAAAAAAACAAGCTAAAAAATCACTAAATTGGCCAAAAAGCCAATTTGACCGAGTTGACTTAGGAAATAAATATTTTATCTCCATAAAGAATATTATGTCACTATCAAGGGAATATTCTCTTATTGTTAATGGAATATTCTTATTTTGTCAATAGAATATCATGTCACTTTTAGATGACATGTCTGATGATATGGTAATGTAGACCCTCTATTGATGACATGGATGATGACTCAACACAAACATATCTAATAATGTGGCATAGTCTTCTCAGGCTTAAATTTTGGCATTGTCTAGTTTTTCGGGCAGATTTCACGCGAAACCTTGACGAGCTCTATAGTGCTTGTTTCAACTTTAATTTCGATGATCTTTATATCATTAGACTTGTATCGATAAGAGAAATCTCTATAGGTGGTCAAAATCAAGATTGAAGGATTTTGAAAATTCTGAAACTTTGAACAGAGAGATGAAAAACGTATTTTTTAGTGTTCAAGCTTCCTTAATACTCTAATACCAATTTATTGTGCATACTAGACCAAAAACAAATATAAATAAAACACAAACAAACAAATTTCATGGCTTCCTGAAATCAAGTATGTCTACGGAGGTAGTAGATTGTATATTATTAGAGAAATGATATAAACGCTTAACTCAACCTAGTACAATCCCATAAAACCCAGAGTTTTACTCTTACACTTGGTGTTTCTCTCTCTTTGCTCTTTTTCACTCTCATAATTGCACTTGCACTCACTACACACTTACACTCTCTTGCTTTCTTTTTATCTTCATTTATAGAAGAAATGAAAGTCTTGGGAGCAACTAATAAATATCAACCAGCTGCTAACTATCACAATAAATTTTGTGGCTGACTTTAGTGTATTTGTCATAAGTGATGGTGGTGGCAAACCTTGACATAAATTTGCTACAACAAAATGCAAACAACATAAGAAAAATGGTAACTTGTACTCTCAGGTAAGAAGTATCACGAAGACATTTGCCAAGCCAAACTTATACCAAGTATTTTGAGCTCACTCACAGTGGATCTACCTTTGAAACTAGGAAGTCTTCACTATAATCAAAGGCATCTCTTACTTGCATCGTCATAGTTGTTTGCTAATAATTTAAATTGATAGAAATAAATTTTGGTCAATCAAGAGATTAGAGCCAAAGAAAATTCAACAAAATATTTGAACTCATTTGTGGAAAGAATGCTTGCATTCAATCCCACATTGATTTGTTTAACCAATCAGAATTTTTATCTTATTTGTTAGAGGAATATATTCTAGATAGATTGATGGGAAAGTGTTGGAAATATGTTGTTAAATAATATTTATGTAGTCTTATAAAGGTAGAATAATACTTTCAGTTTAACCTATATATACTTTATTTGTATTTAGGTTAAGACTAAGCACTCATAATATATAGATCATTTAGAATTCTAGCCTTCTTTTTGTATGTGATCTTAATTATTTTAACATGGTATCAAAGCTAGTTTTATGGAATAAAACTTAATCCCAAACACAGCTTTCATGAATCCAACTTTGCGGTAAGTTGGTTGGGGGTTTGTAGGAGGCAGCTCACTCCTGCCAGGGTTCAGGGCAAAGCCCTAAAATTTTTTAGAGTGATATTTTATCTTCCACTTCTACAAAATTTGGTATTTTATCTTCTATTCAATTTCTGTAATTATTTTGGTAATTCATCAAGAAGATATGTGTTTAGTTTCTGTAATCTCTATTTAGTTTCTGTAATTTGATATTTTATTTTCCGCTGCTTTTACATTCTAGTTCTCTATGATTGTTGATTATGGATACTGAAAGAGATGATTCACTTCAGTTTTTGAATGTGAGGTTAGATGAGAAGAACTATTCATATTGAAGTTATGTAATGAGAAATTTTCTTAAGGGTAAGAAAATGTGGGGGTATGTTAATGGAACTTATATGATACCTAAGAATATTGAGGAGGGCGATGTTGTTTTGATATATGCATGGGAAGAAAATAATACAAAGATCATTACTTGGATCAATAATCTTATTGAGCATTTGATAGGTACGCAGTTGGCGAAGTATAAGACAACAAAAAAGGTTTGGGATCATCTGCAAAAGTTATTCATATAATCAAATTTTACAAAACAATATCAATTAGAGAATAACATATGAGCTCTTCATTAAAATAATATAAGTATTCAACAGTTTTATTCTGCTATGACATATCTTTGAAATCAATTGGCTCTTACAGAATTGGTAGAATTAAAGGCAAGTGATGCCTATACTGAGCATAGAAAGCAACAATGATTGGTATAGTTTTTAATAGCACTTCGCAATGATTTTGAAAGACTTAAAGGTTTAATTTTGCATCATTCTCCACTGCCTTCTATTAACTACTTTGTAGGCTTTAGACACAGAACTATAGCTTTCAAATATACTTGGTATAAACTCATTATCAAGTTTATCCCTCTTGATATGTGGAACATGAACATAACATATGCTACCAGAAATTTTAATAAAGCTTAGTGAAGGTTTGTAATTATACCAAGCTTTAAATAATGTCTTTTCTACCAAAAATTTTATTGGAAGTTGATTTTGAAGAAAACTATTGTGTTAGCTACTTCTGCCTAAAGAATCTTGGGTAAAACCTTCTTATATAGCATGCATCTAACCATCTCCATTATATATCTGTTTCTCATCTCACTAACACCATTTTGTTTTGGAGTGTAAGAAGCTGTAAGTTGATGTTCAATGCAACATCTTAATTGTATAGATTAAACTATGATGAAGTGTATTCTTTACCATTGTCAGATCTAATGGCTTGAATTTTGTATCTACTTTGATTCTCCACATTCTTCTTGAATCTCTAAAAGATCCCAGTTATTTCTGACTTTATTTCATAAAAAAAACCCAACACATTTTAGTGAAATTATCAATGAAAAAAATGTAATATCGACTATATTTTAATGTAATATGACAATTTAGTAATTGGTCAGTAAATAGAGGCACACCTTTTATAACATCATTCTTCTTTATACTGAACATTCATTGTTGATGACAATGTCACAGCCTCTTACACCTCACTTTTATGTCATTAAGCTTTGTTGAAAAAGTTGTGGGCTCTTTTTCAAATGGTAAAAATAAAAAACTTTTACCTCTCATTTTAGCTTGCAATATTTTTTATTCAATAACATAAAAAAATGACAAAATTGATCATAAAAAAATCATCTTCATGCTTTTCTTTATAAGTTGTCCAACACTTAACAAATTCTGATATATATCAAATACATAGAGAACATCGAAAATTGTTTTTGTATCTAAATTTGTTGTGATGGAAATGGTTCCTTTTCTCTTAGCTATTATACAATCATCATTTCCAATTCAAACCTTTACAATTTTTGTAGATTACAATGTTCTAAAAAGACTTTTGTCAAAAGTTATATGGTTTATGTAACCATTGTCAATGAGCCAATCATATGACTTTTGAATTGAAAAATATATGGCTACGAACATTTGATCTTCATCATCTTGACTAGCAACTTGAGCATCTTCCTCTTGTTTCTGAGGTTTAGTTCTACAAATAAGTGCTTCATGTCCAAGTTGATTGTATTTGCTACACCTTATATTAGGTCTCTTCAAGCACTTGAATGGTGGATGGCCTATCTTGTTACAATGTTGACATAGTGAAAAATTTCTTTTAAAAAAATTTCCTTTGTTTTGAAATTGATTAATAGTAAATTTACTATTGCTTGAAGCCTCATTTTTCTTGAAAGACTTCTTATTCATTTTAGAATCTTAATACTTGGCTTATAAAGCCCCTTTTGTAAAATGATCCTGCCTCATAAGTCTTCGTTATTCTTGAGCTTGTGAAGCATTTAAAAATTTTGTCAATGTAATTTTTGATAAATCTTTTATATTCTCCGATAAAGTAACTAAAGCTTTATATTTTTCTAGAACTGAAACCAAAATCTTTTCAATAATTCTAGAGTTTGTGAATGTTGTTCCCAACAATCTAACTCTGTTAATAATACCAACCAACCTCTCTGAACAATCTAACTCTATTAACAATACCAACCAACCTATCTTAGTATTCTTTTATAATCTTAGATTCTTTCATTCTTTACAGCTTAAACTCTCGTATCAAGTGTAGGCTTTGCATGCCACGAATTCTTTCATCTTTTACATCTTCTTTCTTTAGATAATCTTAAAGATCTTTTGTTAATTTAAAAGATATAATTCTTATGAAGATGGTTATTGAAACAACAACAAACATACATGCTTTTGCTTTTGATTTCTTTGTTTTTTACTCTTTTTGTAGCCCTTGATCTAGGTCATGATTGGATTATTTGGTAATGGAGAAACATCATAATTCTCTTCAATAGATTTTCAAATATCTAAGGCCTCTAAATAAGTTTTTATTTTCACTGCTTAAAGTTGATAGTTTCCTTTATCAAAGATAGAAAAGGCATACGAGAAAAGCTTACTTTAGCTTCCATTACAAGTCAACAGATAAAATTACTTTGATAGCAATTAAAAGTATTTAAGTAAAAAAAGAAAGTAAAACAAAAAAAAAAAAGCTAAAGACAACAATATGTTGTATATTGTTTTATTGAACAAAGATGAATAATTGTTTGCTGAATAAAAACAATCCTTCTAAATATACTTATAAATATATATAGTAAATGAAATAAACTAAATTGCTAACTGATAATACTAAATCATGCCATGATATGCTAATAAAATAACATACTAACTTTTAAAGACTAGAAAAACTATTTATTGTTGCTACAAATGAAAGATTAACGTAATAGAACTCTTGAAGCAATCTTCAACAGAAATAGATCAATAAGTTCAACAGGCATAAGTTTAATTTCTAACATAATTAATGTAAGAGTAAACATGATTTTTTTCACCCAAAATACAAAGGTTTTGCTGAATATATATTCATAACTAGTTGACTCTTACAAATCTGATGCACCACACGGGGGGGACATCGCAAGAAAATATTGTAACACCCAGTACTGAAGCAACTTCTCAGCTTTCCCAGCAAAACAATGCTCATCATGGTTCAAGACTCAAGATAATGAAAACTCTTCTTCCTTCAAGGATGGTGGAAACTCGTCCTGGCTTGCTTCCTCAAAACTAGCTGAAGTGGATTCTGATTCAGCACTGGGGTTTAAACCAGCAAGATGCAAGATATTCTCAATCTCTTTCACCACTTCACCCATTGTTGGCCTGTCACTTCCTTTCTCTTGTACACATTTCATTGCCAGATCCACTATCCTATCTAGACCTTTCGGCTTCGTGTCTAAACCAATGCTCGGGTCAAGAAGTTCATGAAGGCTATATAGATCTTTTTTTCTATCCAATAAGCTACTTACCTCCGCTACAAGGTATTTCCCTCGCTCTAAAGGCTTTCTTCCACTTACTAGTTCCAGCAACACAACTCCAAAGCCATAGACATCACTCTTCTCAGTCAAGAGCAGGGTCTTCTGATATTCAGGATCTATATAACCCTAAGCAGAAAATACAGTAATCTTGTCAATTGTAACACTTGATATATATTGGCATTAATCATAGACCAGCCGGCGACCTGCATATAATGAAACTAGATAGTCTTAAATTCTTGACGTTTTGGAGGTACTGACCATTGTCCCTTTAACTTGAGTGGTAGCAAGAATAAGCTCACTATTGTCCATAGGCTTGGAAAGACCAAAGTCAGCAACTTTAGCATTTAAGGATTCATCCAGTAATATGTTAGCTGATTTTACGTCCCTGTGGATAATACGAGGGTTGACAAGCTCGTGCAAGTAGGCAAGACCTCTTGCTGCACCAAGAGCCACTTTAAGTCTCCTCCTCCAATCCAGCCAGATCCCGCTCAAACCTGCTTACGTGAGAAGAGGATATATAATTGTGCAGACTTACTACAACTATAGAATGCGTGGGCTTATTTTCGGAACAAAGGCACCAAAGGGTTGTCATGGAAAACTCAATGCTTGTAAGATTGAATGGTTCCATGTACAATACCTGATAGGCTGTCCATGAGACTACCATTGCGAACAAACTCATAAATTAGCATCTGTTCACCTCTCTCAAAGCAAAACCCAACAAGGTTTACAACATTTTTATGATGAACTCTCGATAAAACTTCTATCTCTGAGTTGAATTCAAGCCCACCTTGCACCGATCCTTGTCGACGTCGTTTGATGGCAATCAGTTGTCCAGTAGGAAGCATGCCTCTATAAACCTGTACACAAAAATGCTGAAAGTTTACTTTCAAATACTCATTCTTAAGGTTTGGTAGTCCATGCCAGCTCAGAAGTTAGATAGTTTGAAGGCAAATTGTAACCAGCAACACCCACAATCATTGTTTATGCAAATGAAACCTCCATGGCAGGACAGGAAAAGAGGGAGAGACTTGCCATTCCGTAACCCCCTGATCCAATATGATTGACTTCCGAGAAATTATTCGTGCACTTCGTAATCTCATCGAAAGAAAAGCATCTGGCTCCCTTCAACTGAGGAACGCTGTCACTGTTCTTTAAATCCAAGTATGCTGCAATTTGGCAAAATGAAGAAAAAGAAATAAACACAATTTTCAATGATGAATGGGAAAATATCAGGTTTAAAAACTAGAACCTTCAAGTACCAAAATGATTCTTCTGTTCACTTGCACTTTCTCTTCTCTTCTTCTGTCGATAAGCGCATACCCCTGCAAGAAGCAATAGCAGCAGGAAAGAGGCTCCTCCAGCCGCAGCCCCAATGATCCTTACGGTGCTTGATAACTCTTTTGATACCGTGGGTTTTCCTGCAAGACAAAGAGGGAGGGAGGGAGGGAGGAGGATGTGTCATCAGAAGAAAGAAAGAACAATGCAAGCCAATCTCTCACTTGTGCATGAAATGTGTAAGTACCATCGAAGTATGGATATGGAGAACCCTTAAAATATGTAGGTCCAAAGATATCTGAATTCTCATAAGTCTGAAGGGTTAGCACAAATCCGATATCAGAAATAGTAGCTGTGTTAAAATGATCTTGGCCCGACGGAAACATGGATAAATTTGACTCAAGATACCCAAAGGAATCCTTCGCTGGAAAATTTACTTCTACTGAATCCACGGGAAGTTGATGGAACTTGAAGGAACGCATCAGAGACTCTTCTTCCAGATGAACATAATAAGCTGAGTTTCTTGACTCTAAAAATGGAGGTTTGAAGACTAGTACTCCCCTGTATGGATACGAGCATTTGCAATTGGGACTGGAAATCTGATCTGAAATGCAGTGGAGGGGAACACATTTCTCTGGTAGCCGCGTATACGAAGAATTGGCTTGAGGAACGGCGCAGTAATTTTCTGTTGCTTCTGGATGCGCACAAACTGGGTTACCCACAAGTCTGCAAAATATAACACATCAAACACTCTTATGCAGGCAAGATGTATAGCACATCTCCTCAGGATTTAACTTGTCCCACTACTATCGTTGTCACGTTTTAGCAGTCAAGTGGACAAAATTAAGGAAAAAAGAATTACAGAGACATCTCTAAAGTTCGAAGATATTACGAAAACTTCTGTACAAAAAATGCCGTTAACGTTTGATATTTATTGAAGGGATGATTTTCTGTAATATCCGAGAGGGACTACTGTAATTCATCCAAAAAAAGGAGGAGGAGAATGCCTCTTACATTACATCCAAGTTATTCCTTCGTTCTGGTGATTCTGGATAGAATGAAATGAGATTGTTTCGCATATCAATGACTTTCAGTTGGCTGCTAGAGCTTGTTGCGACATCCAATGTGCCATTGAGCTGGTTGTTCCTTAGAATCCTGTAACCATTAATGAATTTAGATATCCATCAGTTTCCATGAGATGAAAGAATCTATCAATATCCATGAAGTTGACCGCTATGGTACTGAAGAAACAAGGGGAAGGATGCTCACAAAGTCTGTAAACTAGGAAGATCGAAGAGTGTAGGAGGAATCCGACCTTCAAGTCCAGTGTTTTCCAACATTCTGTTATTCACAGGGAAGTGAAGAACGCTTCACTATGTTGACAGCGTGAAAAATCATAAATTGTAAAGTTTTATACACAGGAATGCATAGTCAATAAGAGGTTCCATGGACAAAAATGTCTCTGTCAAAAAAACCAATGACTGCTTCGTATAACACTTACTAAACATGGAGACAATTATAATATAGCGTGTAAAGTCATGATGCCTGAGCAAAATTTTAAGGGCTAATTGCAAAGTGGGATGGTGGAAAGGATTTGTTATTCTTGAAAGAAAACAGTTAAGTCTTCATTGAGCTGGTCGAGTGTGTGTTACGACAGAGAGAGAAAAGGAGGGAGGCAGGGAGACATACAGTGTTGTCAAAGCCCGTAAGTTTGAGAATGACAGCGGAAAATCTGAAGCGTCAAAACTATTATTGCTCAGGTCCCTGGAGAAAAGATTTTGGTCACAGTAGGCATTTGGAGAAAATTCGAATAGTATTTCATACAGAGATACCTAACAGCCTGGAAATCTTACAAGTAGCTGAGATAAGCCATGCCAGTGAGATTAGGAACAGGTCCAGTAAATTTATTGTTGGACAAAATCCTGAAATTTATCAGCAAAAAGCACTCTTAACCGAGTGAAAATCCGCTCAAAAGACTTAACAAACTAGCCAAACCATTGTGATATCTTTACTGGCAATGTCGTTTTCTGTATACTTACAACGTCGTCACATTGATAAGATTGTTGAGGTTTGAAGGGACAGGTCCAGTTAATGAGTTCCCTTCAAAACGTCTGCAACAAAGACAAGGCATTCAATACAAACTAGATCAGTGCAGATTAATCACTTCCGTTTGTCATGTAGATGCTTACACAGCCTGCAAAGTGTGCACAAGTCCAAGGGTAGAAGGAATGCTTCCCGTGAGATTATTGTCATGCAAAAGCCTGCACAAAAGTAATGTATATACAAATATTGTAAACCTTTACTAAAATTGATCAGATATGGATTTATTGTATTCAGGTGGATAGTCTAGCGCATGCGTAACAAAAGGCCTGATAGTGCCAAATGACCAGTCTGATAAAAAAAATCATAACTTTCAATCTCATGTCTGATCTGAAAAGCATATACAAACTCACACGTGAATGAGAGTCATGTCTGATCTGAAAAGCTCATTCGGGATTGCGCCTGAGAACCGATTCCTTCCTAGATGACTGAATAATTTTCAGACCAGCATAAACAGATGTCAATAAAGCCGAAGCAAGAGAGAACACTAATCAGCTGGACAGCACAAAGAGATTTGACATACAAGTGTAATGCATTAACTAGCATATCAAGACCAGATGTATTTCCACTGGAGACCGGGATGGATCCGTCGAGCAGATTATTGAATAGATCCAGCACAACGAGTTTCGAAAGGTTTCCAATTGAATGTGGAATTGATCCAGTGAATCTATTTGAATTCAGCTCTCTCCGGGAAATAGCAATAGAGAGTTTCAGAAAACAGTAAAGATTGCCAATAGAGAACATGTTTTGTCCATACGAAAACAGTAAAACACTCACAGAATCTCCAGCAGCTGAAGAGACCCTATCAACTCAGGGATAGGACCAGAGAAACTACAACCAGCCAACTTTCTGGAATGGAAGAAAAGAAAATTCTGTCAGTTAATTGGACTGGTTTCAGTGAATAGTAACGTCATATTATTCCCTTACAAGCGTTTTAGCTTCTTCAAATTCACAATTGATGGTGGAAGGGTACCGTTCAACCGGGTGTTGTACGATAGATCCCTATAACCAGACACTGTTAATGAGCAAGGAATCCTTGGAATGGAAAACAATCACTATGTTCATATATCAAGAAAAAGGATGAAAGCAATTCTGGGAATGAGGCCTTTTCTCAATATGTGCCTCATGCCTTGAGATCCGGACGCTAGAGCTGAGCCCAGTCTAGACATCTGGAAAGCCAAAGAGTATCGTAGCACTACATCTTAATTCGAGGCTATGACTACTTGTAAGTTGGGATCATTTATTATGTGAAGTGAAAACTCAAGACTTACAGAACCTCCAATTCTGATAAGGAGGAGATGTCTCCAGACAGCTCACCCATCAATCCCACAGCTGCCAACGTTCTGCAGTTGAAAATAGTCAGCTAATCTCCAAACTTGGAGAAGGAAGAAGGTGCGAGGCTTAATTAACATTTGAAGCTGAACAACTGCCTATAACTTACATCGAAGTCACACGTGACTTTTTACATGAAATGCCTTCCCATTTGCCTTCACAGGGATCTGCACCCACCCAATTACGTGGTGTGTTTACCCAGGCATCCTTGAGAATACTCATTACGGTAACTGCATGAGGAATGGGGCAGAACAATAAAAAATTTCCATGATTCAATCACCATCAGAGTTGTCTAGTTGCATGGAGTATGGAGGATCCATTAAAGCTAGCAAAGATCTCTACTAAATCAAATCTAGCCTCGAACTTTAATGGGTGATTTTTGGCCCAAGTGCAGGCAATTAAGAATATTCACTCTGCAGTTCTTCTATAAAGTTAAGAAGACCCTTAGGCATAAAAAGCTACACCCTACATGAGGCATGGCTCAAAAACTCTTTGGAGTAAATGGGGAATATTAATTTATTGAACTTACAATCATCACCATAGGTTTCTGTATAAATCTGAAAGGAAGCAACCAGCAAAAACGTCAGAACTTTGGGACACATTTCTCATCAGAATTGCAAAGCTCTTTGTTATGAATGTTGCCAACTCCAAAACTCTTTAATAGCAGAAATGATATCTAGAAGTACAACTCTTAATATAATAAAACATGGAAGGATGATCTTTACATATCCCCATCGTTTAACTATCTCAAGTTTCACATCGTGAAAGGACATGAATGGGACACTTTTGTTCGTATGAATCACATACTAAATACAAAGACAATTGACCTTCCATCTCTAGTAATTTTCAAGTTTACAGTCAATATGAAACTCCAAGACTCCTAAAAATACAAGCAGAGAAACAATTTATGAGATACTGTACGAGATAAGAATGAGTTGTGGTTTCTTGCGTCTAGTAAATGTTGATTCACATAATAAGCATCCACTCTGATTGCATCTACATACACTTACAGAATACAGAGAGCATTTCCACATTTCCTACAGTACATACAGCAAGTGGTCATGATTGTATGCTAAAGTCATTTTTTAAGCAATCAATACAAGGAGTTATCAATTGTTAATGAGATGTGTGGATGATTTTACTAAGTCTATTAATTAGACTAGTAGAAAGAAATGCATTTGGCAAACCCTCGTAGTTATAGTTTAACTGGTTAGGTCCTAAATTAATTTCATAGAGATCACCAGTTTGAATCTCATAAATCTTAGGATCATTAAAAGTTTATATGATTATTAACTTTAGAGCCCATAGAATTAGTCAAAATGCATGTAAGCTATCTCGGACAATCATGTTAATAAAAAAAAATGCATTTGGCACATTTAATGATTCAAATGCTTATATGAATGGACTATACAAAAAAAAATTGATGTAGGATAGAGCTAAGCCTAAAAAGAGATATAATTACATAGAACAAAAAAGCTTGTAATTTTTTATCTAAATGTAGAATTGGACTCAAATTTGACTAGAAGGATTTATATGCCTAATTTTATAATAAGGCTTTCATATTATACTTGAGAGATGTTTTTTGATTCAGTTAAATCAAAGTTGTACATGTTAGGATACTGGCATGCAAACCCGACAAGACAAAAGATACTGGCATGCAAACCCGACAAGACAAAAGGCAAGGGATAGAATAAAATGAGAAATAAAACATACTAGAATTTACGTGGTTCACCCAATTTTGGCTACGTCCACGGGCAAGTATAAAAGGATTTTACTAAGTAATATGGGAATTACAACATGTAACATCCCACATCAAGAGAAGAGTATCCAAAGCCAGGGCATATTAAGACAATGGGTACCTAACCTTGTAGAACGTATTTTGGTGCTTATGGGTTGCTAGAAACAAAACTATGAGGCGTGGAAGCCAGGTTGAGCTGAGCCAAAACAGACAATATACTGCAAAGGAGAGTAAGTCGAGCCTTACATATGGTATAAGAGCCAAGGACGGGTTGTTCTTAAGATGGGGGGATTGTAACATCCCACATCAAGAGAAGAGTGTCCAGAGCCGGGGCTTATTAAGGCAATGGGTACCTAACCTTATAGAACCTGTTTTGGTGTCTATGGGTTGCTAGAAACAAAACCTTGAGGCATGGAAGCCGGGTTGAGCTAAGCCAAAGCAAATAATATTCTGCAAGAGGGAGTGGGTCGGGCCTTACACAACCTCTCTCTACTAATAGGAGAACAATTGAAACCTCTCTATTACTAGGAGAAAACACCTCACTTACTCTCTCACAAATACCTCATAATTTTATGGGATTACTTTCCCTCTCTTACTCTTCTCTTCTTCTCTCTTATGGTATGTATTAAGGCTTAGATGCATTGCCTATTTATAGGCAAGCACCCATGCCTTTATCTTGCAAAAAACAAGTGGCACCAAATTAGTTCTTGCCTAGTTAGCTTTATATTCTTCTACTTTAAGACTTTAATGATTTAATCAAGTCTTTACACTTGATCATTAGTGATTCTTCTATCCTTTGTATACTTGACATCTTTATACTACTTATATTTCAGCTAGGTTATAAAAGGATCTACACCATATATACTTGTTAGTGTTGACTGGTATAGTCAAAGCATCTGCTGGGTTTTTCTTTGTGTGAACCTTCTGAAAATTTACACTTCCATCTTCCACCACTTTCGTATTATATATATATATGTTTTGTTCTTGAATGAAACGCTGGTTTCCTTGCAATATGCAAGACACTCTAACTATCACAATACAAAAGAATCTTCTCTTGTTGTATCTGAGCTTTTCTATAAGTTTCTTCATCCATATTGCTTCTTTATAAGCTTATGTAGCTGTCATATGCTCAGCTTTTATTGTGGATAATGCTACAATAGTCTGAAGTTTAGAGACCTAACTCACAACTCCCTCTGCAATTATAAACACATAACCTATAGTGGATTTTCTTTTCTCAAGGTCATTAGCAAAATTTGAATCAAAATAACCTCTAACAATAAATTATGTACCCTTAATGTATCTCAAGATCGTCTTAATAGTATTCCAATGCTCTCTACCAAGATTTACCATGTATCGACTAATTGCTCCCACTGCTTGTACAATGTCTAGTCTTGTACATATCATGACAAATATTAAACTTCCCACTGCTGATACATACGGTACTCGAGACATCTCCATCCTATTTGCTTCATTAAGAGATATATTTGAGAATAATTTAAAGTTAATAAAAAGTGAGGTGGAAATTGACTTACAATCTTGCATGTTGAAGCGTCACAAGATTTTCTTTAAATAATTCTTCTGAGAAAGCCAAATCTTCCTATTGCTTTTGTCTCAGTGAATTTGTATCCCTATAATCTTGTTTGTTGGTCCCAAGTCTTTTATATCAAACTCTCTAACCAACTATACCTTTAATTCCTGGACTCAATCTTTGTTGGGGCCTATTACCAACATGTCATCCACGTACAATAGCAGAATGATGAAATAGTCATCTTCTTCAAACCTTTTATAATACGTACAATGGTCTGAACTAAGTCTGTTGTACTCAAGGCTAATTATAAAGGAATCAAATCTCTTGTACCAATACCTCGGCGCCTGTTTGAGATTATATAAAGATTTGTTCAACCTGAAAACCAAGTTCTCCTTACCTATTTCAGCAAAACCCTCTAGTTAGAGCATATAAATTTCTTTTTCAAGTTCTTCATAAAGAAATATAGTTTTCGCATCTCACTACTCTAAGTGAAGATCAAATATAGCACAAATCGCCAAGACTATTATGAGTGTAGTAAGTCGTACCACTAGAAAAAATATTTCATTGAAGTATATTCCTTCTTTTTGAACATATCCTTTCACCACTAATCTTGCATGGTACTGCTCCACTTAATCATTGTCATCACATTTTATCTTGTAAACCCATTTGTTGCCAATAGTCTTCCTTTCTTATGGTAGCAGAACAATATCCCAAGTGTTATTCTTGTGTAGAGCTTCAATCTTTTCTTGCATTGCTATTATCCGCATAGATACATTTGTGCTTTTGATAGCCTCATAAAAAGTTGATGGCTCTTTATCCTCTATTAAAAGATAGTATGCAATATTGCTCTTAGTAACATATTTTAAGTGCCAAACCGGTTGTCTTTTTTTATGAGTTGACCGTCGAACTTCAGGAATTTCAGACTCTATTTGTTCTTGTTCTTCATACTCTAACGCAGCTTCAAAATAAGTATGATTTTGAGTATTTTCCATCTACACTGCTGAAATCTTCTTTAAAATGCTATTATTTTCTTCCATTTACATTTTATCTTTTGCAAATATGATATCTCTACTGATGACTACCATATAGGCAATGAGATCCCATAAACGATACCCCTTTACTTCATCAGCATATCCTAAAAATACACATTTTCTGGATTTTGAATCCAGCTTGCTAACTTCTTAAGTATTGTACATCACGTACACAAGACTTCCAAATATATGTAATTGAGAATAATCAGTTGGCTTTGCAGTCCATATCTCTATCGATGTCTTCAACTCAATTGCAGTTGATGGAGATTGATTTATCATATAACAAGCGGTATTGATTACTTCTGCCCAGAATGACTTTCCTAGACTTGCAGCCTTTAACATTACTCTTGTTTTTTCTAATAGAGTTTCGTTTATCCGCTCTGCTACTCTATTTTGTTGTGAAGTGTATGTCATTGTGAACTGCCTTTTGATACCTTCATATTGATAAAAGTTATCAAATTCATCACTGGTATATTATCCTTCATTGTCAGTCCTCAAACACTTGATCTTTTTTTCAAATTTAACTTTTACATTCACTTTGAAAGTTTTAAAGACTACGAGCACATTTGTCTTCCTTCTAATTGGATACGCCCAATATCTCCTAAAAAAGTCACATATGAATTATACAAATTATATTGTTCCTTCCAAGGATACAATAGGGGCTTGCCAAACATCAGAGTAAATCAGGTTTAAGATGCATTTGCTCTTAGTTGTTGATGTGCCAAACTTTAATCTGCGTTGTTTACTTATAACACAATGCTCTTAAAAGGGTAAAGTAACATTTATAAGTTTAGGGAGTAACTTCTAATCAGAGAGAATTTTCAAACCTTTCTCTGATATGTAGCCTAGTTTTTTATGCCACATCATCTTCTCTTTTATAGGATTGGCTAATGCGATTGACGCCTCTACCTGATGATGTGTTTCTCCTATTATCATAAATAAGTTTATAACTATGTTTCTTGCCTTTAAAACCCTTAGTGCTCCTTTGATAATTTTCATGATTTCATTGTCTGTTCGAATCTTATAGCTAAAACTATCAAATTTTCCCATAAACAAAAGATTTTTCTTTAGACCTTTCACATGTCGTACTCCTGAAATAGTACCAATTGAGTCATCATACATCTTTAATTTGATGGTGTTAATGCCAGTAATCTCAATCTCTAGAGCATGATCATTACCCCTGAATACTAAGCCTTTAAAGATGGGTTTATGCGTATGAAATCAATCTCGATTAGGAGTTATATGTCATGTTGCTCATGAATTCATTAACCAAACCTTAGTGAGCTCTTTTATATCTTTAAAGACTGTCACTGCTTCACTGTATAAAACCTCCCTATTTTTTAAGGTGCTTGCAACACATCCTTGAGGTTTTAATAATTCTGCAATGTTCTCTGTACCCTTTTTAAACCAATAATCCTTTTTGAAGTGTCCTTTTATGCCACAGTTGTAGCATTTCACAATCTTCTTACTTCTTGATTTAAACCTCCCCTGCCTTTAACTCCCACTAGAGTCATGCTCTGTTGATCTTCCTTTTAACACCAATAATGTCTCTGTTTGGTTTAAACTATTTATGTCTTCTTTGTTTTTATGCCTATTTTCTTCTTCCAAGATAATAGCCGCAACATCAACGAAGAATAAATAGTCTGAGAGGATATTATTGGTCAAATTGATAATAAGTTAATCATACAAATCAAGAAGACTTTGAAATAGAAGTTGTGCACATTCATTTTCTTTTATTTGTTGACCCAACATAGTGAGCTGTGAAAATAAAATTCTTATTATGTTGATATGGTCAGTTACCATCATGATTTCTACCATTCAAAAGGTATAAGTCTCCTCTTTAAGAAAATCTTATTGTGCAAGGACTTGGACTCGTATAGCTTTGTCAGAGTATCTCAAATCTCCTTAACTATTTTCTTCTCTACCACATTTGATGATACTTTATCAACTAATGCTAAATTTATTTTAGCAATAGCATTGTCATCCATCTAACACGACTAAAGGATTGATATCTTCTTTCAAGTATAGGAGTGTTGAAGTAATAAATAACCCGGCAAGACTAGAGTCAAACCACATGGAGGTTAACTATATAAATTATTGATGATGATGATAATGATGATGATGATGATGATGATGATGATGATGATGATGATGATGATGATGATGATGATGATGATGATGATGATGATGATGATGATGATGATGATGATGATGATAGTGATGGTGATGATGAGTTAAAGAGAACTTTGAGATGTAAGATTAATATGAAGATTAAGCAATGATAAAAACAGTTGTCAAGGTTAGAGGATCCACTAATGGTATTTCAAATAAGTATAATATAAACTTTTTTATTACTTAATTAGAAACCACACATAAAGAAAATTCCAATCGAATGATTTATCCTTAATAGTTCATTATAAATTTTTAATATGATCATATTAATTATCTTATTTAAGTAACACCAAACTTTTAAATATTATCAGGAATTCATGATGCTAACTTATGTTAACAACAAATCAAGTTCCTTCAATAGCACAAGTGTAAGTTATACCATACAGTTGGCTATAAAAGTGTCAAGCATTTATTATACCAAGTGTTATACAACACAAATCTAGTTTAACCATTTAACAAGCAAGGTATTAAGAATTAGTAAGATAAAAAGATAAGACATGTTAATAACAAACTTTTTTAGATATAAATATTGACGTTCATGTTGAGTTTATATTATACTTATTCTAACACCATCAATGAAACCTTTTCATCTTGATACAATAAATTTAGCTAAACATTATAAAGAATAGAAATATAAATAAACTAGATAAGAACATAGTTATGAAGAAAAGCATAAACAAGAAATTAATGAAAGCAAAACTTAATCATTAAAAAAATATAAAGAAAGAGAGCAAAAATATGATCTTGATCTGAAAACCAAGATGCCTAAATGCATGGCAAATGCCTCCTTTTATAGGCCAAAATTTAGAACTATTCATTTGTTGACTAATTGTTGAGTGGGTGACCATATTTTGACTTGGTAACAATCCTTATCTTCTTGTTTAAAGAAAACATCATTTCTAACATCAGAATTTGGACAAACTGTCTTCATGAAAGTTCTAAAAAATTATCCCAGCTTTTCAACAAAAAAATATTAAGGTCATTTGGACTTCTACAACTCGAGAGATAGGCTGAACACTAAATAGTGTTTGGGCTGTAGGATAGATTTTGACTTCTCTATTGTTGCTTTAATTTGAACTTGAAAACGACCTTTTTGAATCTTGGACTCCTCATGAAAGTTTTAAGGCTATGTCTTAGCTTTCTATCTATATAGAGTAGACCTAAATCTAAGTTCTATAACTCTAGATATGACCTAATGACTGAATAGTATTCTAACTTAGAATGAACCAGTATCTCTTTTCGAAACTTAACCCTCTCTTTGTCTTTTCACTTTTAATAGTTTATCATATTAATCAATCCTTTAAATTGTGAGATATGTCTGCTTTTAAAATGAGCATTTACCATAAATTAAAGCTATCTTATATTATTATACTTGTTGACACGACTAAAAGATTAATGTCTTCTCCCAAGTGTAGGAGTGTCAAAGTAAAAATAACCCAACAAGACCGGGGTCGAACCATAGGGAGGTTAATTGTACAAATTACAAATGATAATTATAAACAACAATAATAGTAATCACAACAATAACAAAACTAATAGAAATAGTAGTAGTAGTAGTAGTAGTAAAGAAAGAGATGGAGAAGAAAAAAAAAAGATAAGAACTTTGAGATGGAATATCAATCTAAGAATTAAACAATGATAATAACAAATGTCAAGGTTAGAGATTCCACTAATGATATGTCAAACAAGTATAGTATAAACTCTTATTGTTCAATTGGAAACCACACACAAAGGACAATCGGATTATAGATTGTTAATATGATTACATTAGTCATCTTATTCAATTAATGCTAATACTTGTAAATTTCGTCAAGCTTTCATGATTATAACTTATGTTAACAACAAATCAAGTTCCTTTCATAGCTCAGGTGTTGGTTATACCATACAGTATGGGCTATGAAAGTGTCAAGCATTTGTTATGCCAAGTGTTATACAACATAAATCAAGATTAGTCATTTAACAAGCAAAGTATTAAAAAGTGAACAAGATAACAAATATAAAACATGTTAGTATCAAACATTAAAGTCCATATTAAGTTTATACTATACTTATTCTTACTTCATTAGTGTAACCTTTTCACCTTAACATAATAAACTTAGCTAAACATAATGAAAGAAAGAAAAATAGATAAACAAAATAAGAACATAAATAAGATAAAAGTTAAGTAAAGGAAAGGAAATAAAAGGCATAAACTTGATATTAATGAAAGCAAAGTATAAGCAATACAAAAAAAAATACAAGAGAGAAAGCAAGAGCATGATCTTGATTTAGACACCAAGATGCCTAAATGCATGGCAAATGCCTCCTTTTATAGGCTAAAATTGGGAACTATTAATTGATAATGTCAAAATTAGAGCCACTTGAAACATGAAAGTTGTAGGAAATTGTCTCAGCTTTCTTGTATAAAAACTTCAACTCATTTAGACTTCTAGAACTCCAGATATGGGTCCAATACTGAACAGTGCTCAGGTTGGAAGACAGATTCGGACTTCTTTGTTGTTGCTACAATTTGGACTTGAAAATGGTCTTTTTAGATCTTAAGCTCCATATGAAAGTTGTAGGCCTATGTCTTACCTTTCCATCCATATAAATTAGACCTAAATTTGAGATTTACAGCTCCAAATATGACCCATTACCGAACAGTATTCCAGTTTGGATTGCACTGACATCTCTTTTTTAAGTTTGCCATCTCTTTGTCCTTCCAATTTCAGTTCTTAAATTTATCAATCAATCCTTTCATTTATGTGATAGGCCTGCATTTAAAATGAACATTTACCATAAATTAAAGGTATCTTATATTATTAGATATATTATTATAAAACATGCTTTAGTTAAGGAGTTATTGATACTTAAAGTGCAAAATGATGATATAAAACCTTGATAAAAATACACTTTTAAGTATCAATCACTTGTTATTATAAAATATGCTTAAGTTAGGGAATTTAATAATACTTTAAGTGCAATATGATGACATAAAACCTTGATAAAAATACACTTTTAAGTACTAATCACCATCTCATTCTAATCTGCATTATCAGTGATCTTTGCGGGTTTATCTCCAATTGCTACCGAGCAATTTCTTTTCTTAAAATTGCTTTGATTTTTATTTTTCATAGTGAGAAATTGCTCCCCTTGAACCACTCAATCTCGTACTTTGCTGCCATTTTATTCACCAAGATCTATTCATCTATCAATATTTCATTGATCTGCAACGTATACAAAAATAGTATTATGTGAATAATGCTTCACTAAGTAAGTTTCCAAGAAAGATTGGAGGGATCACAAATGGTCCCGCTTAAAACTCAATCTCTTTATACAGAACTTCCTAGACTATATTTAGTCACCATACTGACTTTTTTTATACACCAACAATAACGTTTATTAACAGTACTGTATGAATGAATAGTGTCATATAAGTGAATAGTGTCGTAGATGTGAACAGTAACCGCATACACGAATAATGTTTTTATAGTAACAACACCAACCAAGAAGGCTCTAATACCACTATTAAGATACTAGCATGTAAACTTGACAAGATAAAAGGAAAGCAATAGGATAAAATGAGAAATGAGACACAAAAGAATTTACGTGATTCACCCAATTTGGCCATGTCCATGGGCAAGTATAGAAGGATTTTACTAAGTAATGTGAAAATTACAATCTCTCTCTACTAATAGGAGAATAACTGAAATCTCTTTATTACTAAAAGAAAACATCTCACTTACTCTCTCACAAATATATCATAATTTTATGGGATTATTTTTTCTCTCTTACTCTTCTCTTCTTCCCTCTTATGTTATGTATTAAGGCTTAGATGCATTGCCTATTTATAGGCAAGCACCTATGCCTTTGTCTTGTAAAAGACAAGTGGCATTAATTGGTGCTACAAGTGGCAACAATTAATGCTACAAGTGACACTAATTGACACTAAAGTGTTGCAAATGGCACCAAATTGGAGCTTGCTTAGTAAGCCTCAAAGTACAAACACATTGAACTTCTTGAAATAATTTGATTTTAGTGCATATACAATTGATTTTTATTAAGAGTTTCCTAATTTTATCACACAACATCTCAAAAATCCAAAAGTCACATTCCATCTTCCTCCCACTATGTTTCTTTCAAAAGATGTTTTTAAGCATGTTGGAATTGGATGGGAAGTGCTTTTTTAAAGGTTTTTTTTATATAAAAAAAAGGAATTATATAGTTTAAAGGTTTGAAGAACCTTTTTTGTCTTTTGACAGAATCAAATTTGTAAATTCACAAGTTTTCACAAAGCAAAGAATTACATTTTTGATGCATCATATGCTATAAAGTGCAAACAACACATGAAAAATGACAACTCGTACTCTCAACTAAGAAGTATCATTTAAAAAATTTCCATACTAAGCTCAAGTATCATTGAAACATTTTCTAAGTTAAGCTCATACCAAGTATTCTGAGCTAACTTATAATGGTTGTACCTTTAAAACTAGGAAGCTCCCACTGTAATAAAATGCATCCTTGATATAAATGTTGGATGTTTAGCGCTTTACTTGCTTACATCATCATAGTTATTTCACCACTAGAAAATTGGCAAATACAAATAAAAATACTTCCAGAAAAATTTTGTTGATAAATTGTGATGACCTTTACCGACAAAAATTTTCTTCCCTATATCTATTACTAGACACCGACAAAATGATTTTCTTGGGATATAATGAGAAAATAATATTTTTAGCTAATCATATGGTGACATGGCATTTTTAGCAATAAGGTTATTAACATAATAATTCCATCGGTAATGGCATCGATAATATTTAATTTATGACCTGACAATCGACCTTCCTCTCCTGCTTTCCATTTTTTCCTTCTATCTTATGAAATTTTTTTAGTTAACGTAGTTAATTAATACATGTTATTATCATTATTTTAAATAATTATTTAACATATTGTCATCATTATTCACCTCAAGGGTTGTAGAGGATAGATTATTGTAATGGAATTCAGGGTTTTATTAATTATACATTATCTAATTTGAGAAATATTAGTGGAATGGGTACTGAATGTTCACGCAAGAGGTAGAAAAATAGAAATTTTCTCGATTCATATGTTGTAACGATGCATCTTCTACAAAAAAAATTCATGGAAAAATACCTACATAGGTGTGCATATGGAGGACCATATGTTCCTCACGATACCATAATAGAAATGATGGTTAAGTCAACTTCTAATTCTAGCAATGTATATAGACTTGTAGATGACAATAGTAATCCTTATAGGAATATGGTTATGGATGCAATAAAAATGAATTACGATCATACTGGTCAATGTCTAATTGTAGATAAAGAACTTAATGCAGATACGCGTAGGTTTTTTTATGTTTTAAAAGATTTTAATAAACCATTATAGGATGGCTACATATATCATCATAAATTATTAGTCGTTACACAGGTGTTCAACATCAAATGAGATAATAGGTTGAGTGAGGCCAGTTATAATAGAATTTTTGAATAGCCGAGAAGCATTTTACTTGAAAGGAACAGGCTGAAAGAGAACTTTTATGCTACTATATCCATGATGAAACTCATCGATCTAGGATACTAGAAAATTGATATCTGTTCAAACTTTTACAAGTTATACTACCTTGAAATTATAGAGTTGGCCGAGTGTAGAACATATGGGCATTCTCGTTGTAAACTCATAACTGGTAGCTAGAGGAAGGACTCCTATCACACATAAAAGACTTAGATATTTTCCAATCACACCTAGATTGCAAAGGTTATTCATGTCACCAAAAATTATTGAGCACATGACATGGCACAAATCACATGATACGGTGGATAAAATGATGGTGTACCTTTTCGATGGTGAAGCCTAGAAACACTTTAACAATATACATCCTTAGTTTTCAGTAAAGATAAGGAATGTGCGTCTTGGGTTATGAATAGATGAATTCAATCCATTTGGGTCATTTCATGCTCCTTATTCTTATTGACTAGTGATACTCATGGTTTACAACTTGCCACTAGAGATGTGTATAAGGCTGGAGTTCATGTTTTTATCTATGATTATACCCTGTTCTAATAGTCCAGGTCGGAATATAGATGTTTATCTTCAACCATTGATTGATGAGTTGAAGTAGTTGTGGTCATTGAGACTTTAACTTATAATGTATGAAGGAAAAAAATTTTCTAATAAAAGTAGTTTTGATGTAGACTATCAATGATTTTCTAGTTTATAGAATAGTTTCTAATTGGAGCACACATTGAAACTAGCATGCCCATACAGTATGAAAAATAACAAGGCATTCACACTAATAATCGACCTTAAAGTGTTTTTTTTTACTGTCACTAGTGGTTCTTGCTAATAGATTGTAAGTTCAAAAAACACATAAAGGACTTCTTAGTTGGCATGGTTAGAAGGGATGATGCATAAGCACTTCTTTTAGGTGAAAATTTTGAATAATATGGTATCAGAGTATGGTGACATTGTGTTTGGTTTTCAATCCAGTAGGCAGAAGTTTCTTGGTTTTTGTTTGACCCACAATTCGGTAAAGCGAAGTATTTTTTGGGAGCTTTATTATTGGAAAACATATCTTCTCCACCATAACCTTGATATCATGGACATGGAAAAGAATGTGTTTGAGAACATTTTCAACATGTTATTGACATGAAGAGAAAGACAAGAGACAACATCAAGGTTAGAATGAATATAACTTTGTTTTGTCACCATAAAAATATAGAGTTAGTTTATGTTGGGTCATGGGTCATAAATCCCAAAGTCAGCTTTGTCTTAAACAAGAATACATAGTTTCTTCTTTATCAATGGCTTAAAAGTTTGTGTTTTCCTGATAGATATGCCTCAAGCATATCAAGGTTAGTGAATTTAGAGGATTGCAGATTGTATGAAATGAAGAGCTATAATTGTCACATGTTTATGCAAACACCAATTCCATTAACTTAATAGGATTTATTGTTAAAAGGGATATAGGATGCACTCATAAAGATCAGTCATTACTTTAGAGATATATGCTCCAACAAGTTGCAGATACAAAACATAAAGAGATTTAAAATGAATATCATCTAGACAATATGCAAACTTGAGATGATATTCTCTCTAACATTTTTCATCTTGATAAAGCATCTACCCATACATTTACTGTTTGAGGCAAATGTTGGACGCCCAGTACAATATAAATGGATGTATCTATTCAAGAGGTTAGGGTTAACACATGCATCATGATTAAAATTTTATTATCTTCCTTTGCTTATTTCAAAACATACATTTAATTTCATGCAAGTACTTGTTCAACCTTAAGAGAAAAGCAAAAAACAAAGGCATATGTTGAGGTTTCGATATGTGAGGCCTATATTATTGAAGAGATTTTAATATTTATCTAGTACTATTTCGAGTCTTAATTGAGAACAAAAATCAATTATAATCCAAGGTATAACAATGGTAGGGATGTGCCTTTAAGTAGGAACTTGTCAATATTATCTCATCCTAGACAACCCATACCAAAAAGTATTATAAGGGGAATATATTTTTCAAAAATAGAATTCAGACAAACACATAATTATATGTTATTTCATTGCGATGAACTGAAAACTTTTATTCAGTAAGTATAATACTTAACATGTCTTTATTTTTTAACAATTTATCTCCTATAATATCATAAACTGATACATTATTGAATTCCTTGCAAGCAACGATAAATTAATTATGGAAGATGATGTCTTGTAATTTGGTGAGTTAGTTGATCCATATTAAGTTGCTCTGTCTATTGACTTAGAAAAAAATTTAAATTTTTGCATTGTCAAGAATTTTTTTTATTGATGTTGATATGGAGAAGTTGAATGATGTTTTAAGCTTTAGCGCATAAACACAAGTCAATGAAGATGATAATAACAAAATCAACATACAAGATTACGATAGAGATAAGGACGGGTCAATTGATGAAGTAGAAGAGAATTCTGATGAATTTGCGCAACACAAATGTGTAATGCCATAAACTATAATGTAATATTTATAGAGAAGATTCACTTCAATGTAATGACAATGATGTTAATTTATTATTGAAAGACAAGGAAATATTTATTTTTTATTGTGATATGAACCGGTGTTATTGTGCTTTGTGTGCAGTTATGAATTTAAGTATTTGTAAGATGGATAAATAGGGAATATAGATTCAATTTGTCATCAAACATCGTTTTACACCGATAAAAATATTGACAGACTATACATTATATATAGGAATATGAACAGAAAGTATCTATTGATATATTCTAGAAACCATAGGAACTGTTCCCCTTCACCCTGGCACTATTCATGGTGTTTATTACATATAGGTTTAGTGACAAAATGTGTTTGTCAATATATTTCAAAGACCATGGAACTATGCCCCTTCACCATGACACTATTCACGATGTTTATTATATACAGGTATATCGACGAAATGTATCCTATGGTATATTCCAAAAACCATGGAAATTGTTCCCCTTTACCCTGACATTGTTAATAGTATTCATTACATACAAGTATATTGATAAAATGTGTTTGACGATATATTTAAGAGACTATGGGAATTGTGCCCCTACAACCTAGCACTATTTATGGTATACAAATGAGTATACTAACAGAATGTGTCTGTCGGTATATTCTAGGGATTATGGGAACCATTCACTTCTCAATGCAATAATAATTAATGATGTTTTAACTGTTCATTTTTTTTCCTAATAGAATTACCGACGGAAAGAAAAGTCATCGATAATATATGGAAGGGCTCTCTAAATATTTTCACACAAGTTAAGAATCTCCATGTGACTTTATAGATGAAATCATCAATTGAAGTATTAAAAATATTAATATTTAATTTTCTATAGGTAAAAACTAAAATAAAAAACTTGAATCATGATAGATCAAGGCTTTATCTTCTCTTCTCTTTCTCCTTTTCACCTTAGATTAAGCATTCTCTTTTCTTCACATCCTAAGGCATGTTGCCTTTCTTCATTTTCCTTCTTCTTCTTTTTTTTTTGGATTTATTAACAATGTATTTGTTTTTATTGTTTTTTTTGTTTTTTTTTAATTAAGAGCTGAAATAAAGCACGTCATTAAGGTAAGAATTTTTTTATTTCTTTTTCTTTTTTTTTTGGTGTTTTTTTTCATTATGTTTTTTTCAAATTTGTTGTTCTTAATTAAGAGCTAAAATAGAGCATTATTTTTGTTCAATTTTGTGTTCTTAATCATTTTATTAATTAATAAATGACATTAATATTAGTTGTTATTGAAATAATTTTTGCATTATTTTGTTGAAATTTAGTTATTTTTTCAAATTTGTTGTTCAATTTCAATTAAATGTGTAGAAATAATTTTAATTACTATTTTGTATTTATTCCATTTAGAATAATTTTTTATAAATTTAGGATTAAAAATATGATCACTTAGAAATAATTGTGTTTAATTTTAGGAGTTATTGTAATATATTTTTCATTATTTTGTTGAATTTTAGATGTTGTTTTTTCAATTTTGTTTTTCATTTTCAATTAAATATTTAGGATTAATTTTAATTATTATTTTGAATTTTTTTAAATTTAAAATATTTTTTTGTAAATTTATGATTAAAAATATTATCACATAGAGAATGAAATTTTTCTATGAAATTGAATTATGCTAAATTGTTGGAAGAAATTGAATAAAATAAACTAGTTTGTGGCATATATATTATGTATTTCCAGGTTTAAAAAGTTTAGGTAGTTTCCCGTATAAGGTAGATGTTTCTGAAATTTTTTTAAAAAATAGGAATCTTTTAATTTCTTTTAATCCATTAATTTGTGTGGATGTGTATGGAAAAGTCTATTACACGTTGAGAGGACAGAATCGCTGCTAATTCTTCTAGCAGCGATGCTGACAACCATGAGTCATTAGGTGCTGACCAAGAACAAGCACTTGAGGCACACATATTGACTTATGACGAGGGCTCGTCGAGTGTGATGCCACAACATCAAGGGGGTCTCTTCACAACCGGATCCATTTACCTGCAAGTATGAGGCTAGAGAAAGGATGACCTTTCAATATAAGCTTGTTTTGCTTTCACAACGGCATGTTTAATAATTTTTAAAAAAATAATATTATTTAACGAATACAATTTTAAGTTTACAAATATTGAGGTTGCTAGAACAATAATATTGGCCTTTAAATCATCGATGGAAATTCAATTATTTCAATAAAGACAAGTTTCCAGATATCCTAAATAGAAACCACGGGTTGATGCATGGTTTTCAAAGTTCAAGGTTAGTATTAACTTAAATATTTTTTTATGTTAATTTGAACCGTTTATTGAAATTCTTGAAATTTTCCTTTTATAAATTTTGACTTCAGGGGAAAAATTGAATAGGAGAGAGTTGATGATAATTTTGTGAGGAGCGTTTGAGATAATCACTCTACAATCAGATAAAATCGAATTTAGGATAATTTTTTTATTCCAAATGCTAAAATTTTATTTTTCATTTACTAACAAATAAGTAATTTGTACTATATAGGTTGCGTGATTTTTTGTACGATGTGCAAAAAAAATCCAAAAAATATGCAAAAGAAAGAGAGATTCCAAGCTGGAATAATATGGCAGTTTGGAAGGATTTTTTATTGGTTGTTTTTTTATAAATATGCTTAACTAAAAATATTTTTTATTGCAAGCTATGAGTCTTAGACTCGAGCCACGCCCAATAGAGTTTTTCTGTTGAAACTCATGTGTAAGTTATTATTTTCTTAAATTTGATGAATTTATTTTTTCTTTCTAGGATACATATAACAACAATTGAAGAAGAGATACAGGGACGATCTTTCGAACCATCTAGATATCGATCTGGATTTATGGTTGAAGGCAAGATCATCTAGTAGACTCGATAGAAATCAGGTGTACAAACTCTCTAACACTATAACTGAACTTGCAAACAACTCATAGTGTTTCGACAGTTAAATGCTCGTAATTGATTATGAGCATACAGACTCTGGATTTTGCGGTGATATTAGACCAATAGGTACAAGATCAGACAACTCATCTTAATGATAAATATGAACGACTCAATACTGATTATAAAGAACTCCGCTTATTGGTAATGGAGATGATATCATAGATGAGTGGTTCATATGCAACCCCTAATTGGCCCTATAGTTCCAGCAACCATCATCTTTCTCCTCCAACGTTGCCTCTATTTTAGATTTATTGTTTTTGAATGTACAAATGTTTTAATTTTTAATAAATAATTTATTTTTATACTAAAGAAAATATTTTTAAAATATTACTGAAAGGGTTACCAACGACACAACTCTATCAGTATATACTAGAGTTGAAAAGAAATTACTACAAATATCACTATTACTGATAGGGTTACCGACAGAACTAGACTGTCGATATATTCCAGAGAGATGAAAAGGAATTACTGTATATGTCACTGCTATTGCTAACACACTGATAGAATTATAGATGGTATTCTGCCGGTGATATGTTATATTTATCGATGAATATACCGATAGAATAAAACGGATAAATTTGTTTTTGACGTGCTCTTTTAATTTGTAAATCCATTAATATATTTATCATTGACAAACTTAACAACAGTCCATAAATTATCAACATTAGTTTTTTTTAACGGATTGTTTATGTCCGTAAATCAATAGATAACATATACATCAACAAACTATTCATACAAATACCAATAAAAAATTTTATCAATAAAATTATTAAATTTAATAGTCTTTTGCTGGCCATTTAAATTCACATAAATAAATTCTGGTCAATCAGGAGATAAGCCAAAGTAAACTCCAAATAATATTTGAACTCACTCGTGGAAAGAATGCTTCCGTCAGTCACCAGCTTGACCACTCAGCATTTACTCCGGAGACAAACTTGTCTAGGTGACGACAGCTGAAAAAGATCCATAAAGATATCAGAATTTCTTCCAAACGAGTCTGTCCTTCTGATTGCAGACACACGGCCCCCCTCCGACCACTCCCCTCCGTCAGCTCTTGCAAGGCTCCTCTCTCTCTTGGAAATTCCAACACCTGGCCCGACGAACAACTGGCACAGCACGCGAGAAATGTATTGATCCTCGACGGCAAACAATCAGTACAGCATATGCTAGAAGTGATGATAGCTGGAAATTTATTTAATTAATGTGAATGAGAAATTTATTTAAAAAAATTCATTTACTATTACAAAAAAAGTAAAAAAAAAACATTTACTTGAATGTTTTGGATTCTTACTGTGCTCTTACTTGCGTCGTATTTTACTATTTTATTCTCAATTTAATATTTGATTTTTCTCTTAAATGTAGAGATTAAGTTCATTTTAATTTTTAAAATATATTTGAATTTCATTTGTTTTGTTCAAAAACATTGTTTAAATTTATATTGAACTAAAATGGTGCTGTTAGAGTTTTAAAAAACATATTACAATGATTTTAATTGTACAAGTGAAAAACAATAATAAAATCTTAAAAATAAATAATTCATTCTTAATAATAACAAAAAGTTTATTACCTTAAACTACTTCAATGAATAAGTACACTCTAGCATGAATGCTAGAATTTTAAATTAATATCAATTATATGATATTAATATGGAAACCGCCAACGACAGCATTATTGACCAGTACAATAGTTCATTTTGTCCTCTAATATTTAATAGCACATATCATTGTCAATGTTATGAAAAAGAGAGTCTTCGTAATTCTTCTACCATCTTTATTACTAATAACAATTGAGAATGAGGAGTTTTACCTACCAAGTCTTTCCCCTTATATATCAAATCATTAGCTTAACCTGGATAAAATTATTTTAATTAAAAAAATATTATTTCATGTAAAAAAATTGTATTAATTAAACTGAATTTAACTAGGTTAATCTACGTCCTAAAATTTTAATTAGAGCCATTGGGTTTTAGAGGTCAGTAATTTTTCTATTTCTATTGAAAAATTAACCCAAAACAAGTTTTATATGGCAAGTAAATCCACAAGTGAAGAACTGCAGTTCTGAGAATTCATGAGCTAAATTAAATATTCACAAAGCAAATAACTACAATTCTGATGCATTATATGCTACGAAGTGCAAACACACAAGAAAAATGGCAACCCGTACTCTCGAGGAACAAGTATCACTGAAACATTTGCCAAGCCAAGTTCATACGCTCACTCATAGTGGCTCTACCTTCGCAACTGGGAAGCCCCCACTGTAATCAAAGGCATCCTTGCTAAAAATGTATGGATGTTTAGCATTTCCCTTGCTTGCATCGTCGTAACTTGCCGAAGTGGATGCAGAATCCGCATTAGGGTTCAGACCTGCAAGCTGCAAGATATTCTCGATCTCTTTCACCACTTCACCCATTGTTGGCCGGTCACTTCCGTTCTCTTCTACACATTTCAGTGCAACGTCCACAAACTTATCGAGACCTTTCAATGTTGTGTCTAAACCAATGCTTGAGTCAAGAAGTTCGCCGAGGTTGTACAAATATTTTGCTCTATCCAATGCCGTCTTTACCTCTCTCACCACGTACTTCCCCTTTTCTATCGGCCTTTTTCCGGTTAATAGTTCGAGCATGACAACTCCAAAGCTGTAAACATCACTCTTCTCTGTCAGCTGCTGGGTCATGTAATACTCTGGATCCATATAACCCTGGGAAAAAAAATGCAATAATTAATACAATCAATTCTATCATCCAGTCCGGTCGTGCCAAAACTGCGTTTCATTTTGTAAAATCAATCGTAGTTTATGTATTCTTGTAATATAACATATAACGAATCGGCCTGTTTGCATGTACACACAGAGCCAAGATGATGATATTTTTTCATTTTAATTCCATATACCATAAGAACAGTAAGAAATAATGGTATGACGCAGATGGAGTGGAGGTATGGAGGCACTGACCATCGTCCCTTTCACTTGAGTTGTAACATGAGTCAGATGACCCTTTTCGCTGTCTCCCATAGGCTTGGAGAGACCAAAATCGGCAACTTTTGCATTTAAACGCTCATCTAATAGTATGTTGCTTGATTTTATGTCCCTGTGGATAATGGGAGGGTTGGCAAGTTCATGCAGATAGGCCAAACCTCTTGCTGCACCAAGGGCCACTTTTAGTCTCCTCACCCAATCAAGCCTGATTCCTGTCTTCCCTGCTTGGATTGAAAGGACAAATAGGAGAGTGTGAGGGGTTAGTGTGGTTTTATCTACATTTATATTTTAGCTTCATCATGCACAAGAATTAAAGCAATAGAGTTTTGTTAGATGGCATACACCAAATTTTCATGAAAAAAAGATTGTATGGTAGCAAATTCCAAGTATCAAATCGAAGCATTGATAGCTCATAGGTGCCGATGAAAGTACCTGATAGGCTTTCCATGAGACTGCCATTTGGAACAAACTCATATACGAGCATTTGTTCACCTCTGTCAAAGCAAAAGCCTAGAAGGCTTACAACATTTTTGTGGTGGACTCTGGATAAAAGTTCAATCTCAGTCTTGAATTCTAGCCCACCTTGCATCGATCCTTGTTGAGCTCGTTTGATGGCAATTAGTTCTCCAGTAGGAAGAACTCCTCTATAAACCTGTAAGGATGTTATCATATATAAATTCCTCGTGTTTCCGAAACCAAAAAGGAACAAAAAAACATCAATGCGGGGGATTCTTCTTCTGGCAATGAACTAGAGAAAGCGTTTGGATCCCTTCAACAAGACAGTATCAGGGGAAATTTTTTTCTGAAAGAATCAGTAAATAATTGAAGTGCAGAACAAAAAAGCATTTCACTTGAATGGTAAGAACATCAGCAAGTGTATTTTGAAAATATACTATGACCATGCTAGTGTGAGAAATGAGCCCAGTAAAATTGAATACTAACAGGCCTCTTTTTCACAGGTTTTTGTCGGGTGGATTTAGGACAAAATTGGCATAGTTTACCATGTAAAGATTTTAGAAAACCAGACCAGATGCAGTGAAGTTGTAATATAAGAATCATGATTGACAAGAATCAAGTGCTGTGCACCTTTTCCGAAGAGCTTGAGATTAAGGGTTTTCTTGATTTAAATCTTTATGTGCATCAGGAACATGAATATTTCAAATGCAAATATCCATGCGCGGATGTGGCTAGGCTTTCAGAGAGAATCAGACTTACGTTTCCATAACCCCCAGAACCAATGTCATTGGTCTCTGAGAAGTTATTGCTGTATTTCCTGAGCTCTTCAAAAGAGAAGTTTCTGGCTCCTTTTAATTGAGGAACACCTCCGATACTCATGTTTGATTCCCACTGTGCTGAAAAAGAAACAAAACAAATCCATGATATTCCATAACTGTAAATACCAAGTAAATAATCAAAGCCTTTTCATACCAAAAGGATTGTTTTGTTCAGTTGCCTTTTCTGCTCTCTTCTTTTGGCGATGAGCATAGAGCCCAGCGCCCAGCAATAGCAGCAGGAGAACAGAGCCACCCGCCACAGCTCCAATGATAACACCAGTGTTAGATGATTTTTTTGATCCTGTAACTTCTCCTGGATGAGTAGAAAGAGGGAGGACAGAGATGTTACGATAAGAAAGGAGAAACACTAGGATAAGTTTTTCTTATAGTTCTGTATCAGTTATGAGACTACCTGCGAAATTTAGATACGCATCGCCAATAAAAAAGAAAGGTCCAAATAGCGATGGAGGCTTGAAAGTCTGGTTGCTCAGCACAAAACCAATACTTGAAATTCCTGTTCGATTGAAACGATCTTGGCCAAATGGAAACACTTGCAGATTCAAAACAAGGTAAGTTGATGAATCTTTTCTTGGATGACTTAGATTAACCGAATCCACAGGAAGTTGATGTAACTTGAATGAGTTCATCAGAGACTTTTCAAGAACAGTGTAATAAGTGTTGTTTTCCAGGTTCGAGAATGAAGGAGCTCTGAACTTTAGAAGTCCTGTGTATGGAAATGCACATTTACAGTTCGGACTGGAAATCTGATTGGCAAAGCACAAAGAAGCTACACAGTTATTAAGAGGCGTTGAATAGGAAGATTCGGTTTGGGGAACACTGCAGTATCTTTCTGTCACTCCTGTTTCCTGACAAACTGGGTTGTCTACAAGTCTGCAAAATTTTAACAGGTAAACAAGATAAAGCTAGAAACAAGCATTTATCCTGGCAATTCTACTTTCTCAAGAGTACTGAAATGGTCTTGTCTAACAGTGTAATGGATACAAACAAAGAATCTGGCTTACATTACGCCCACTTTTTCTACTCCTGGTCTGTTTGTGAAGCCAGAAATTTTATTTTTTCGCAAATCAATCAATGACAGTTGGTTTATAGTGCTTGTTCCAATATCCAATGTGCCATTGAGCTGGTTATTTCTTGCATCCCTGTCACCAGAAGTCAAATCAGCTATCAACCAGCCATGTCATAACATGGAAATATCTATCTAAACCCATTTTGTGTGAATCCAAGAAAGGCATAAGCTAATTTTCGTTGAACAGCTTGAAGCTGACTCTTACACAGTCTGCAAATTGGAAAGGCTAAAGAAGTCAGAAGGAATCTGTCCTTGAAGTTGTGTTGTCTCCATCACCCTGCAATGAAAAGGTAATGATATCATACTAAGACTGGGGTCTTAATCTCTTTTTACGTTTTCAAAGTCCAAACAGCAACTAGGCACTCATGCACTTTATCATTGTGAACTTTGCATGCATGCACACACAAAGAACCAAGGAGACATAATATGGCAAGCCCTATAACTGAAGCTGGAGAAATTTGCCAAGATTTTCCAGCATTGTAAAGGCCAGCACATACATCAATATGAAGAGAATGGATAATGAGAAAGAAAAGAAGGCTGCATCATGTAAAGAAAAGAAGGCTGCATCATGTCAGCAAAAGCATGAGAAAAATCAAGTCTTGTGCCTTTATGAACAAATGCATATGAAATATGAGGTTTCATGAAGTGGATGCTAATAGCATTTTTTACACAAACAAATCAAATGGCACATTTTATGAAAACTACAAAGAGATAATAAAGCTTAGGATGAGCAAAGCTAAATACAAAAGGAGGAGTTATGAAAGAGTATAAAGCTGTGAGAAGCTTAATGTAATGGTTCATTCATCTACAAGATAGAGATTACTCAAGTAGATATTACTTACTCAGATTGGAGGTTAGACTCCCAAGTTTCTATGAGTTCAACAGGAATTTGTACCAAAAAATAAATAAATAATTCAATAAGAAGATAGTACAGAAAGCCAAATGTTACAGAAGGGCAGAACGAATATACAGCCCAAACATCATGCTGCTTAAAAGTGTATGTGGAGATAGGTGATTAGAAAATAAGAACTAATAATTTATAGAGAAACTTTCTTGAGTTTAAGAGAAAAGAAAACACATGATTGATATGCCGAAAGCATTAGAACACGCAGATGGCTGTAATCTGTCAAGTAAGTTAGTATAAGAGCTCATTCAAAGCAAGATGATGGAAAGCGTTTGTGCTTTTAATGAGCTTAGGAATGTATATGTCACAGTTTAGGGAGAGCAGATTTAACTGAGAAAGGAGGCAGAGAACCATACAATGTTGTCAAAGACTGCAAGGTTGAAAACCATGGAGGAAAATCTGTAGCTTCGAAACTATTATTGCTCATGTCCCTGCAAACAACATTTTCGTCAAAATACACAGAGAGAAGAAAGTAGAGCTAGAATTCATCTCAACAATTGATTATATGTACGCCTAAACCATGTAAAATCTTACAAGTAGGTGAGGAGATCCATGCCAGTAAGGTTGGGAAGTGGCCCAGTTAAAACATTGTTGGATAAATACCTGAAAATTGGACACCAAGCAACACACTTAACATAGAAAAAACTCCCATAAGAGATATTAATGACTTCAATAAAACCAGTTGTAATGGAAGATCTCTCCGCTCCATACTTACATCTCACTGACACTGGTAAGATTATTGATGTTTGAAGGAACAGGTCCAGCGAGCGAATTATTATCAAGACGCCTGTAACCAACATTGCATATACAATTACAACATTGAGCATCAGGAATCTCGGTACAAAATGACTTGAGTCTCCAATATCGATACTTACACAACCTCCAAAGACTTCACAAGGCCAA